AGTGTGTTTGATTGTATGAATTTTGTCTTGAATTAGAGTTTTCTAAGCATTAGTTTTAATCTTGCCATACACAACCTAATTACTAACATTTATATGAAAGCGGTAAATTGCGGAAAGTAAATTTACTACGCTATTACATCACTTGAAAATGGGGATACAAATGTACAAATAGGGATTGCAAGGAAATTAAATCCTAATTTATCTATTACAACCATATTGAATTTGAATAATATACAAGAGTTAAAATAATATACAAAAAAAAAGAAGTTGTCTTGATTTTGTTAAAGAAAGGTTTTGGTTAATAATTCTGAAATAAAATTTTTTTTTTTGATATTTTTATATATTCATAAAATAAAACTTGTAAATAAATAGTGTGTAAAAAATCAACTCAAAAGGAGTTGTTTTGATTGGTTGGAAAAATATTTGAAGTTTGTTAAAAAGAGAAAGGAAACAAACAAAGGGTAAAAGCTGTTCTGGTCCTACCAAACTTTGAACTCAGGACCCTACACAGAAATTCCTTTCGTGTGCGTTGTTTGTATCACTAGGGTGGTCTATTCCATCCGTTCATAAGGCAGCTTCGATTGGGTACAAGATGAACTTGTTTTTCAAGGTTTGGAATTCCCAACTTCTTCCTTCGACTGCAGGAGTGCGAGACTCCCATGTTGAGATTCGAAAGGTTTCAATCCTCATCCAATCGAAAGATACGGAAAACCTTCCTAAGATCTTCAAAACGAAATCTAAACATATGACTTTTAAAAAGCTACAGACCAAAGGTTTAGCAATGAATTTTATTCAACACAAACATCCAAAATCTAACTAATCAGAGTTAAAAATCTCAAACACAATCAAAGAAAATCAAAACTAAGAGTATATCCAGCTTCCTATGATATCTACATTTCTTATTTTATTTGTATATGCAAATGATGTTTGAAATGAAAGTTCCAAGTTTTAAGAAAACTTACCTCTTGAAGTGCCAATCGAAAGAGCTCTATGTGACTTCCGAGAATGATTCGATGATGGATCAAGCCTGCAGGGACCTTCCTTGAACTAGTTCAGTTGCTGCTTTGTTTAAAAAGTCACTGAATTGAAGGTTGGTTAGGAGTGAATCGAAGGTTATTATATAGAAGTCCAAGGAGTGAATTGAAAGACTGTTATATTGTTGTTAAGGAATGAATCGAAGGGTTCACTAATGCATGAAGGGGTCTGAGGTTTTTTGTGAGAGTTTTAGAGTTTGAATGTTTGAGAGTGTTTGGGAGTTTGAGAGTTTGAGAGTTTGAGAGTTTGATGATTTTTCCCACGCCACTAAAATATGTTTTAGCTTACAAATGATTTCTCTTTTTATAGAGAAAAAGTTAGAGATGCTGGAGTAACCAGGTTTGTAGAATAACAAACCATGGTTTGGTTGAGAACGAAAACAAGTTTAATCAATTTTTGTGGTTCCCAAGTTTCAAGTACAAGTAGGGGCATGGTGTCTTTTGGGGACTTGACATATGCTTTTTGATGTTGCTTCTGTTCAGATAAAAACAGGTTGGGAGCTCAAGAAGTTGAATTTATGATTAAAGTAATCTTTATGGAAAAAGACACATATCTTTTTTCCATTTCATCCAAAAATGGTATAATCCAGTGGATAAAGCTTTGAATCTTTATGTAATGCATAAAAAATTTATGTAAGCCTCTGATTATGTAAAGATTTGGAAGTAAAATAGCCTGACAAGTGAGATTTGGAGGATAAGGCTATAAGATTTGATCAATGTTATTCAACTAAGCTTGCTCGAAGGGTTCAGAGTTTGATTTGAAGTTTGTTGCTTCGAAGGAAACCCATACTCCAATCGAAGCTTTGTGAGAAGGTAATCTTTGTCCAATCGAAACTTGCATGCAGGAAGCCCCTGCTTTTCGAATCAAAGTAAACCAGCAGGATGCCATTGCCTTCTGAATCGAAGGAAACCTGCAGCAGGTCATTGCCTTCTGAATCGAAGCAAGCCAGCAGGAGCCCATTGCCTTGTGCATGATAGCATGAGGGGAGTATTTTCTTTGTGAATCAAATGAAGCCTTCAGAAAGCTATTGCCTTCTTAATCGAAGGACACCAGTAGGAAGCCACTGTCTTATGAATCGAAGCAAACCATCAGGAGGCCATTGCCTTCTGAATCGAAGGAAAGCTGCAGGAGGTCATTGCCTTGATCGGAGCTTGGGAATTTGAAGCAAGTTTGAAGGAGGCCAGAGCCCAATCAAAGCTTGGGAATGCTTGCATCGAAGGAGCCTAGATTCCCAATCAAAAGCTTGTGAATCAAGCTTGCATCAGAGGAGGCCCAAATTCCCAATCGAAGCTTGTGAATCAAGATTGCATCGAAGGAGGTTAAGTGCTCAATAGAAACCTCTAAATCAAGCTTGCTCGAAGGAAGTTAAGTGCTCAATCGAAGCCTCTAGATTGAAGTAAACTTGCTCTTCTTCGATTTGATGCTTAAGAGCCCAATATGGAAACTACATGGGTCTTTAAAAATCCAATTGTGCTTGTGCAAATTCAAACTTTAGTTGATCAAACCTTGTGTAGTTTTGACCCAATAGAAATCTTGTGAGAAAATTCTTGAGAAATGAGAGGGCAAATTTTGGGGTACAACAGTTATCAACACAAGTCTAGATGACACCAAAACACAAAATGATTATGTGTAGTTTGTTAGTATGTATCCATAAATGAAAGGTTGAATATGAAGATCAATCTTTGTATGTGTTTATAGTTTTATCAAATTGAAAATGATGCATGCGTGAAGTATTTATATGTGTGCAAGTTGTAGGCAAAAGGGAAACTTAGAAGTTTGAAAAGGAATGCAATTTTTCAGAAAAACTACAACATGTTTTGACACATATAAGTTATATGTCAACACATTTTATAACATGTGTCATGTTCAAGGTCATGTGTCGATACATAGTTACAGAAGCTACAGGCTTTAAAAATGGATTACATGTGTCGACCTGAATATTGTATGTGTCGATATAGAAGAAATTTTTCAGTATGTATTGACCTGAAAGTTTGTGTGTGTCGACACATAATTACAGAGGCTACAAGCTTTAATATTGACCTACGTGTGTCAACTCATACCTCGCATGTGTCGACACATAAACCTGTTTTTCATGTTGAAACTGATTTTTAAATTCATGATACCTTTTCCAAATATGTCCTAAATGTATTTTAAGTACCCTAATGCAAAGGCCCACATAATGACTCAGAGATACCGTCTAATATACAAAAATATTAAAATTATCCTAGTTCTGATATCATGCCAAACATCTAACGTACAAGTGCACTCACACAAGCATCATGGATGGAGAATTTAGTCGAAGAGATTATAACGAAAAATCATGGAGCAATAACCATGAAGATCGACATCATGTCTACTATCAATCTGACAAAGAATTTGATAGCACATAGAAGAAGCAAACACATCGAAATGAGATTTCATTATCTTCGAGAGCAAGTAACTAATGGGAAGCTGAATGTGAAACAGTGCAAAATTGAAAATCAGATTGCAAACATCATGACAAAGGGCGTGCAGGTCAAACTGTTCAATAAATTGAGAACTATGATGAATGTAGATAGCTTAGACACAATGAATTAGGTGGTATGTTGAAAATGTAATTTTTATGTCAAAGCAAGTCGACAAAATTTTGTTGTCGAATTCTTTGTGTGTCGAAGAAAGCAATCGAAATGTATAGTTGTCAAATGAGCCAGCCTCGACAGAATTAAACTTAGTATTTTTTGTATGTTTTAGTTGAGTTAGTTAGTTAATTAAAATTTTCTTAGTGAACAAGCAAACTCAACTATAAATAGGGAGGTACTCTATCATTGTAAGGCGTGAAGAAAAGTTGAATAAAATTCCAGTTTGAAAGAAGAGAAAAACTCTGCAGAATCTCCTTCTTCTTCCTCTTTTCTCTCAAACCCTGATTTCTTTTCTTCTCCAATTTATCTTTCTTTCTTCTCAAAATTTATGTTCAACGTGAATCATTTTGTAATCAAGGTATGGTTGATTCACTCAAATGAAGAATAAAGAACAAGAGACGTGATCAATCAGAAAGATTGATTCTTGCTCATCGAGATTGATTTGAATTAGTCTAAGATTGGAGTTTAATTCCAACAATTTCAACTCAAATTATTGACGTCAAATATTAGATTTTGGAGAAAGAAATGCTATCATAGATAGAAAAACGGATCAAATGCAAAGAAAAAGTATATTTCAACTCAGTGTATTTCAACTCAAAGTATTGAAGTTGGAACTACTCGCTGCAATTTTTTATATTTAATATATTTAATATCTTTTTTATCTTTTTTATTTGAGCAATTCTCATTTGTTAGAGATGGTTCCTGAATTTGAGTATCGTACCAACATAATTTTCTGGTCATTTTATGAATTAGAGAACAAGTCCCTAAAATCAGCCAACTTACTTGCATGTAGGAGATAGGAATAGAGTTAAGCATAGATGATGCCAGCACTCGTCTCCTAGACTTGTTGATGGATTTATTCTTCTCGAAGGTTAATATATCATTCAATTTGTCTCAAATGAAGTGGTACTCTAAGAAAAACGAAGATAATTGTTGAAGGAATTAGTGCTTCTGATATAAGGAAATGTAATTTTTTCACTTTTCCTCGTAGATATCTTCTAAATTGAGTTTTATCTTTTATTTATAAATAAGTTTAAAATTGACTTTTCATATTCCAAAATAAATATGTAGTATTAGTAAGGGTTGTCAAATGTATCTTTTAGCATGAATAGACTAAATTAACACATACATTGTTTCTCTCTAGCTTAAGATATTATACAGAAAAATTCACATACCAAAACATAGTGATATAATCTACTTGTTGCTATTGGCTTATATACACGTTGGATACATCAAAAGCTGGCATCCATTCAAGGAATCAGACATATCATACTGAAGATATTTCTCATGCTAAGGACTATGCATGTATGGTTGCACTTAAACAGATCATGTATTTGTCAGATAACATCAAGCAATCATTCCTGCCTCATCGGAATCTGGAATTACAATGTCAAGCCTCATCATCGGCTTGTACTCGTCTGGTATACGTGCGCCCGCTTGTACACACACTTCTACTACGGCCGGAGCCTTTCCGTAATATCTCCTTAATGCAGCCGTGATTGGAGGTCCATTCGTGTCTCTGACATGCCACACATAATTTGGAGGTAAGACTTCATCTATAGTAGCATCCTGCCAACCATGTTTTCCATCTCTCCATTGATGTTTAAATGATCCACAAAGCTTCGCGTTGTGACCCCACGGTCCAACATGAACCTCCGAGCAATAGCCGCACGCTTTCACCGTGTATTTCTTCATCAACTTCCTGACACCCTTTCTAACAATTTGATATGCGTTGATCGTTTCTTGGGCGATTTTAGGCACGTCTGACAAAGGTGGACGTGGAAATCGCTCACAGGCTCTGTAAGTATCAAAGTCGATGATGGAAGAGGACTCGACAAAGTTAAATGGCTCAGGCTCCTCTAGATGACCGCCTCTGTCAAGTACTCTCCTCCCTACCATTCGTATGGGATTAGTCCTTCTCCGCGAAGGATACTCTGGGATGTCCACACCGGCTTGAATGCAGAGCTCAACAACAGCCGGAATCCGATCGTATTCAAACCGTGTATCGTGCTTAATGCGCCTACCAAATGGATCAAAGAGATGATATGACTCAATTGGGACCAGTATATCATTGACGGAACCCGTGACCCACGCATGAGAACTATGACGCGTTGAACTGGTACGACCTTCACAGTCTAGAATGCAGTGACCAGTCTGAGCCACATGTACTTCCGAGCATTCACTGCAGGAATCAAGTTGACAAGAATTTAACTCCTGCATCATCATTAACATAAAAGAAAACAAATATTCAACTAGGGTCTAGCGCGAGTTGTTGGTGCACGGTGTGAGTGTTGTAAGCTTTGTAGTCCTACACCTCTGAAAAATTGTGTGTCCATGTCTTTGTCAGTGTCGGACACTGGCAAAGACACGACACCGACACTTGTGATTAAGTTCAGTTTATTCAGTTTTTCAAATTATCATCAATGTCGGTGTTGTGTCAGTTGTCCGTGTTTGTGCTTCATAGGTTGTAAATCGTGGTACCGAGGTTTGATTTCTGCTAATAAAAGAATGCAAAGCAACTAGAAGATTAGCACAGTATGGTGTACCTACAGCCATATATAGGAATGACATGCAATAGCTGGGAAAGACCTTTAATCAAAAGCTTCCAAGCATCAAATACTTCATAAGCAACCGGGACTAGGTCCGGAACAAGCAATCCATTCTTTGGAGGTTCAAGAGGTTTCTCTATTCCCTTACTAGCAAGTTTTCTGTCCACCTTTGCAGCTTGTTTGATTTCTTTAAAGGGAATAGGGAATGGTTTCTTCTTCTTCTTAGGTAACTTAGGTGGGAAATCGACATTTTGGGTTGACTGATCTCGTCTCCACACGAATTCGTCAGGTCTAAGCTTCCGATTGGCACAAATTATAACTCCAGGTAATGTCAATCTACACTTGTCGAATCGTTGACACGTAAACTGCAATAAAGACACAGACGAGTGTAAGTTCCAAAGACCCTGTTTTGGCAGGCTAAACATTAAGAGAGATCTACATGACAATATATAAATCATTCAGCCATGGGAGGAAATGAATCACTAGAGTCTAGAAACATTCTATCAAAAAGGAATCATATTTCGATAAAGGATCATTACATCTTTCCAATCGAACTAATAACAAATTCAATTATCAATATGATGATGGAAGGATCAATTATAAATGATTATAAACAATGAAATAAAAGATGTAACCTTCAAATTACTCTATATTGTATGTTTGGTTTCACGGTTGAAGCATTTATAATTGATTATAAATGTATAAAGTTGATTTTGACATGTTTGGTTACTCTCGAGTAGAGTTGATTCTGCTTTACAGAATTGATTATACTTAAAAGTTAGAATTTATAACTTTCGAGTCTAAACGAAATTTTTACAATTAAATTTTTTGTTCAACTTACTTTTGCAAAGATTTATCATAAATCACTTTATCTTTAATTCACTTTTAACCGGAATCAATTTTACAAAAAACGCTAAGATTGAGCTCTTCTCTCAAAAACACAAACCAGGAAAGTATAAACTGGAGTCAGTTTCTGTACATCTCAACTTTTTTTCAAAAAAGTCTCTAATTTAACTTCTCCATAAACAAATTAAAGCTCATAAAACATTAACTTTAAAAATCCAGAAACTAATCCAAATTTGAAACATAGGAAATGGAATGATTAAGAAAGCTAGCAAGCACACACAACAGAAAAAAAAGAAAGGGGAATTAGAAAAACCTTGAAAGTGGGAGAATACGAGTTAGAAGCTGATAAGTGGTAGGACCTTATAAACTCCATAGTGTACGACTTTCTCACTATTTCTTGCCGCCGACAACGAACTCCGGCTGTGTTTTCCGGCGAAGGTGCTGAGTTTTCTGATAAACGAATAGTTGAGCTTGCTGATTAGATTACAATCCCATATCTTTGTTTGTACTCTCTTCTTATACTGAATACTATTTTTTAATGACATTTTTACCTTCCCAGAGTTAATTATTAATGATTAATATTTTTAAATATAAATTTAGAATATTCATATATTATATCATAATAAAAATAATTATAGCACTTTTGAATCAATTTGATATAATAGATTGAGTTAAAATAAAATTGAATGAATTTATTTGCATGTATAAATAAATTTGACTGCACATTGTCAACTTGACTGCATGTATAAAAAAATTTCACTGAAGTACAATTGTCTGTCACGCATGTTTATGAGTCAAGTTACGACACATACATTATTAAGAATAATCTATTTAACAATGATTGGAACATACATATAATCACACAAGTCCAGACTTTACTATGTAGAGTTTTGTTGTAAATTCATTACTAACAATCACGATCCTGAGACCGTTGTAGTAATCTAGAAAGCACACATGATATATAACGGTTATGCTTAACAACCATTGTGATATATATTTTACTGGGTTCGAAATCCAGTAGCAAATAAATTACATTAGTTCACGGATAATATAGAAAACCATTGTGAAACGTACCTATAGTTTATTATATACCAATGTATATCGCTTGTTTTACCATACACCTCGTTAAAGAAATACAACTATTAAAATTGGTAAAGAATTATATAATCTGAAAATTAAATTATTCTTGAAAACCAACTTAAACACACCATTGTATTCCAAATTACATGTGTCTCATTGTGCATATTTTATGTTCTTTAACACATATATGGTTTGATGGTCGGATTCCTTAAATGCATTGATATCTTTTATTATAGTTTACCTCATAATCATTGCTTATCATGGTGATTGTTATGATGACTTATCATCGTAACAATCACAATCTTAACAATCACAATAACAAGCAACAGCGACGAGGTAAAGTAGAATTGTAGGTATCGATGTATTGAAAGAATCTGACTATTGAACTATATAATATGTGTTAGAGAATATAAAATGTGCAGAATGAGACGCATGCAATTTGGAAAATATTGATTGATATGAGTTGGTTTTCAAATACATCTTAATTTTCAGATTATAAGTTTCTATATCAATTTAAATGATTGCATTTTCATTAAAAGGTTAGTGAAACAAATGATATACATAGTATATAATAAACTAAACTTCATCTAATGTTAATCTGCATGTATACGAATTTAAAGAACAAAATATTGCTAAGTCACAAGAAGTATTTTTCTTATGACTTAGCAATATTTTGTTCTTGTTTTGAGAACATTTGTCAACAAAAACATCATACAACAACACAACAAATACACGCAACACAATAAAAAACATACATTTTAGCAACAAAACACTAACAGCATACAAAATCACAATAAATATTAAATTGTTTATGGAACGTACCTTTTATTGAAAATAACCGTGAAACTATGAAATTCATCTAGTTTAAGAAGCAACGAAAAAAATACAAGGTGGATGAAGTTTCCATAATGACTTCATACTTCTTGTATTTTTTTTCATTGCTACACAAACCATATGTACCTTATCAACTCATACTATAAGCTTGCTACCACCATCAACATCACCATATGAAGTTCATCTAGTTTGTGAAGCCATGAAAAAGAAATATAAGGTAGATGAAGTTTACACAATAGCTTCATACTTCTTATATTTATTCTCATAGTATCTCAAACTAGATGAAGTTTCTTGTTGTTGTTGTTTCTTCATTCACTTTTCATTAGTCCTACAAACACCATGAAAATTATCAACATGTGAAACCACAAACTTATTTGTCAACAACACAATATGCAACAACAACATAGAATAACATACAACAATAGAAGAACCATAAACTATCTAATAAGAAGAAAATAATAGGAAAATCATGTGAAACATAACAACAACATACACGAAAATAAGAGAATAAGAAAGAAAAAAAGAATACATTTATGTAAGAAGAACAAGCTTGACGACTATACTATAGAATAGAAATGATAATGAGGAAGAAGGAGAGGAAAAATGGGTTCTAGGGTTTTGCTGTGAAAGATATGACGCTACTGTAAAAGACCGAGAGTTAATTCGTTTATATATAATAATTTTCACAACGATTTACATTACCAACTGTGGTGATATATGTAAATGTATCACAACAGTTGAACAAAACAATCGAAGTCATAACCATTTATTTTATATTTAAAAATAAATAAAATAGAAAAGGTGCGCCTTAATGTTAAATGAATAATATATTTGAGGGCACTAAGGTTCGAATCCATGAAAGCTTGATTGTATCACCAAGGTTACGGTATCAACTGTTAGTATATACTAATAATATTTTATTAAAAAAATTAGAGAGTGATTTTTGAGATGTCACCACGGTGTTTTGAAGAACCGTGGTGACTTGGGTGTTGTTGTATCCGCGTTTTGTAGTAATGTTAATTTGATAACATTTTAAGATAAATGTTAAAAACAAAAATGTTCGGTACTTTTTTAATCAGAACTTGTTGATACATTTGTTGGGAAATTAAGACAAAATAACATAACAATACGCAACGAATATAGAATTCCCCTCACATGTAGGAACCTTGAGGATCAACAATAAATATAAGACAGCAAACCAAACAAATAAAAGGCACAAAAGAACACTCATATTTTTAACGTGGAAAACCCCTCGATATGATAGTAAAAACCATGAGTCGTTCAGACCAAAGAAATAGCCCCACTATAATCAATTGAGGGTATAATATAGTCTTAAAGTGATTCACAAAATAGTGATGACAACCGCAACTCACAAAGTAAACTAGCTTACAAAGAAGAACCCAAAAAGCTAAAAAACTACTCAAATCTGCAGCTTCAATGCGAAGCAATTATCTCTCAGCTCGGACTTTGTTTTGAAAATCTCAATGGTCAAATGTTAGATATAGTTGTTGCAAACATGCTCACTAAATTTCATCTTTATCAGATGGCTAACGAATCGGGGATCATCGATTTAGGGAGACTGGTGTAGAAAAAAATAGGAATGAGTTTCTCTCCTCTTTTCTCCCTTTTGAATCCTTATTTCCTCTCTATTTCACTTCACTCTTAATTGAAACTCTCCAATTAAATAAGTGAGAGAAATTGGATATTCATATTTGGGTCTTTCTCCACATAGGAAGAGAGCCCAAGCCCAACAAATCTCCCCCTTACAACTATGTGGAGGAAACCGTCAAACCGACGATAACACAACAAGCTTCAAATTTCTCTCTTAGTAATGCTTTATTCATCATATCATAACCATTATCATCTGTATGAACTTTAGCTAACTCGATAACTTAGCATCCAAAACATCACGTATCCAATGATATCTCACATCAATGTGTTTGGACCTATTATGGAAAGTCGAATTCTTACCAAGATGAATAGCACTTTGACTATCAACAAATAACACATATTTTTCATGAACAAACCAAGTTCCTTCAAAAATTTCTATAACCAAATTAACTCTTTGCATGCTTCGGTAATGGCAATGAACTCAACCTCTATAGTAGACAATACTACACACTTTTGCAATATGGATTGCCAAGCCATAACTCTCCTTACAAATTTAATCATGTAGCCCGAAGTGGACTTTCTAGAATTAATGTCTCCAGCCATATTAGAGTCAGAGTATTCCACTAGAGTAGGCTTATCTCCTCTAAAGAAAATCCTCATAAAAGTAGTACCACGAAAATACCTTAAAGTCTATTTTACAACATTCCAATACTCTCTACCTGGATTTGACAAAAATCTATTGACTGTACCAATATCATGTGCTATATCTGGTCTTGTACACACCATTGCATATATCAAACTACCCACAACAGACGCATAAGGAGCACATTTCATATCAAACACTTCTTCTTAACTTGAAGGACTTTGATAAGAACTCAATTTGAAATGAGTAGCAAGAGGAGTGCTTATCACCTTAAAGTTTTCCATTTTGAATCTTTATAGCACTCTTTCAATATAATATTTTTGTGACATCTAAAGTTTCTTCTCTTTTATGTCACACTTGATTCTAATGCCAAGAATATGTTTAGCTGATCCCATGTCTTTCATGGAAAATGTCTCTCCCAATAGCTTCTTTAACCTGTTAATGTTAGAAATATTTTTCCCTACAATAAGCATATCATCAACATATAACAACAGGATAATAAAGTCATAATTAGAAAATTTTCTAACAAAGACACAATGATCTGAAGTGGTCTTCTGGTATCCTTGAAATGAGTAGCAAGAGGAGTGCTTATCACCTTAGAGTTTTCCATTTTGAATCTTTATAGCACTCTTTCAATATAATATTTTTGTGACATCTAAAGTTTCTTCTCTTTTATGTCACACTTGATTCTAATGCCAAGAATATGTTTAGCTGATCCCATGTCTTTCATGGAAAATGTCTCTCCCAATAGCTTCTTTAACCTGTTAATGTTAGAAATATTTTTCCCTACAATAAGCATATCATCAACATATAACAACATGATAATAAAGTCATAATTAGAAAATTTTCTAACAAAGACATAATGATCTGAAGTGGTCTTCTGGTATCCTTGATCACACATAACAGACTCAAACTTCTTGTACCATTGCCTTGGATCTTGCTTCAACCCATATAGACTCTTTCTGAATCTACAGACATGATCTTCTTTGCCTTTAACTTGAAAACCATCCGGTTGTTTCATGTAGATATCTTCCTCCAAATCACCATGCAAGAAAGCCGTTTTCACATCCATTTTCTCAACCTCTAATCAAGATTAATAGCTAAACTCAACACGGTTCTGATTGATGACATTTTTACAATAGGTGAGAAAATATCATTAAAATCAACACCCTTTCTTTGATGGAAACCTTTCACCACTAATATGG